CCCGAGCCGTGTCGCGTCCCCCCCCCCCCAACGTGCTGCCTCCCCGTCCCATTTGTGTCCTCTGGCCATCGCCCTCTCTGGTAACGCCCATCACTGCAAACGCCCATCACTGCAAAGACCCTTTTCCTTCATCGGCGTTTGCTGTTCTTCCTGCCAGTGCGTGTTGCTTTCACTTACACTTGCCACAGCCAGCCTCGTGAGTGCCTAGCCTATTGGATATCACTGTCACCTACACAGGACAGTCATTACCTTTCTATTAATACTTTGTGTTTTAATTTCACATTAATTTCCATATTGTATAAACAACTGGAAAAAACTTGAGCCCCTGCCCCTGTATAATCATGTGCATGTCTCTGTTCTAGCTCCAAGGTGAATCTTCACTGCTCATGTTCTCCTCAGAAGCACTCACCTCACTCCCCTCAGGTTACTGTACACATGCACCAACTGCCTGCTTCAGGTTTGGATGGAGCTTCATGGTTGTCTTTTGGAGAAATGACCAGTCAAGTTGTGTTTGAAATTTGATTTTTTTCAGGGGCAAAAGGAGCCTCTGCATTCTTGTCAAATATGTAAATAGCATGTTTTTGCAGGTGCTAAAAACCAGACTCTGAGTGTGTGTGTGTGTGTGTGTGTGTGTGTGTGTGTGTGTGTGCGTGTGCGTGTGTGTGTGTCTGTGTGTGCGTTCAAGTCACATGACATATTTAACCGGATGTAGCTGCAAGACGGAGCCTCGTTGACTCTCCGTTTCAACTTATCTCAAAAGTGAGGACCTCAACCTATATACCAGTTTTTAAATTGTGTTGATAGGCCAAATAAAACCAGAGTTATGATAAATTATGTCCGCGATACTTTTTTTCTGCTTATTTTGATCACGTTCGGCGCTCGATCGCGCTGTATGAGACAGGAAAACATAGCATGCAGACATTAGCGACAGCTCTTACAGGCGGAAAAGGCTTGCCAAAAGAAAAAAAAAACACACCACAACATCTCTCCTATTGGTGGAAAACTTCACCACAACAACCAATCCAAAATTATATGGTGACTGATTGACAAGGGGCGGGCGCTTACGTTCTTCCTGCAACATGAGAAGGGAGGGAGGGACTCTCAGCAGGGATGCAGTCTGGGACACGTAGTTGCAAACCTAGCGACTTTGTTGTTAGATTCAATGACTTTTCAGACCCCCTAACGACTTTTTTTTAGAAAGAAAGGGACTTTTATCGACTTCTTCTGGAGTTTAGAGACTCTGACATGAAGCAGGCTTTCCTTACTGAGGAGTTAGCAACGCTGCTAAGGGTGCAGAGCCACACATGCGCTCAGAGCTCTGCATGGGAGACTGAAGCTGACAGAGCCGCAGCAGTTAGCAGGTTTCACCCTCAGAGACCACCAGGGGTTCATGTTGAGGCATTTTAATTTTTTTTTTTTTTGTGCCATAGACACTGTCAGCACAATCTGCAGTTACACTAACAAAAATGCTGCAAAAAACAAAGAATTATGGAAAAATTACACATGGACTGACATACAGGAGGATCTACACAAGTTTTTTACATCATGTTTTACATCATGCATCATTTACATCATGTTTTTTTGTAGTGGCATAAATAAAAAGTGACATTTGTGAGACTATACAGTGTTTTGTAAATAATTTTACAAAGAACGCCTGGGCCATTGCCTGCATTTTGATGTAAATAGAGGTAAATCACTATGTTCTTTGTTAAAAATTTGCATATGTTTTGAAGTTTACAATTTTTATTTGAAGTTTAAGTTTTAAAAACAGTTCATCACACATATTTGTGGTTTTCACAGTAAAAATGTTACTTTTTTCCACTCGGATTTTATGTTTTGTGTGTGAATTTGGGTCCATTGTGTAAATTCAGTATGTCAACATGATAAAATAACTGTAAATTCGCACAGGTGAGGTTGTGCTGAAAAAAATGATACCAGGCAAGGCACGTGATTGTCAAATTTTGTGTCAATATGACAAAGCGTATAGGCGTGAATCTCAACAATATGTATTTTCACCTTAGGGGACAAGAAAAAATGGACTTTTTTCTCCTGCCATGGGGGGGCGCTCTTTTGGGGAGTAAAAATTCCTTCACAAATGTGTTGATGGCTGGACATTGCATCATCCTAGAAAACTTGGAGGCCAGTGAGGACAAAAATAAAAAGTTATAAGACTTTTAAATATGTGGATTTTTGGGTCATCTTTGGCGCCCCCTAGAACGTAAACCGTGGGGTGCAGCGTCATGATTTTTACAACTTTGAATGGGCATGGGGTGTAGATTGCCCTGAGCAAATTTGGTATCGGTGGGACGAAAGCCTTAGGAGGAGATAGCCACATTCCAATGTGTGCGAATCGGCAAAAAATGCAAAATAGCCCTTTAACCGTACATTATACAGATACGCGCTCTTGGACTTTTTCGTAGATCTAATTGAGATACACATGATTGTCAATTTTTGTGTCCATATGACAAAGCGTTCAAGCGTGACACTCAACAATGTGTATTTTTATGTAAGGGGACAAGAAAAAATTGACTTTTTTCTCCTACCATGGGGGGGCGCTCTTTTGGGGAGTAAAAATTCCTTCACAAATGTGTTGATGGCTGGACATTGCATCATCCTAGAAAACTTGGAGGCCAGTGAGGACAAAAATAAAAAGTTATAAAACATTTAAGAATGTGGATTTTTGGGTTATTTTTGGCGCCCCCTAGAACCTAAACCATGGGGTGCAGCATCATGATTTGAATAACTTTTAATGGCCATGGGGTGTAGATTGGCCTGAGCAAATGTGGTGCCGGTGGAACGAAAGCCTTCGGAGGAGTTAGCGAAATTCCAATGTGTGCGTATCGGCAAAAAATGCGGAATAACCCTTTAACTGTACATTTGACAGATACGCGCGCATGGACTTTTTTGTAGATCTTATTGAGTTACATGTGTGTGTCAATTTTTGTGTCATTTTGACAAAGCGTATAGGCGTGACACTCAACAATGTGTATTTTCACCTTAGGGGACAAGAAAAAATGGACTTTTTTCTCCTGCCATGGGGGGGCGCTCTTTTGGGGAGTAAAAATTCCTTCACAAATGTGTTGATGGCTGGACATTGCATCATCCTAGAAAACTTGGAGGCCAGTGAGGACAAAAATAAAAAGTTATAAGACTTTTAAATATGTGGATTTTAGTGTTATCTTTGGCGCCCCCTAGAACCTAAACCTTGGGGTGCAGCGTCATGATTTTGATAACTTTTAATGGCCACGGGGTGTAGATTGGCCTGAGCAAATGTGGTGCCGGTGGAACGAAAGCCTTCGGAGGAGTTAGCGAAATTCCAATGTGTGCGGATCGGCAAAAAATGCGAAATAACCCTTTAACCGTAATTTTGACAGATACGGCCGCACTGACTTTTTTGTAGATCTTATTGAGATACATATGTGTGTCAATTTTTGTGTCAATATGACAAAGCGTACAGGCGTGACAGTCAATAGTGTGAATTTCCACCTTAGGGGGCGCTATGGAGCCATTTTGCATTTTATTGTTTGGGCGACTTCAGAATATCGAATTTTTCACCAGGCCCGGTCGTCCTGCCAAATTTCATGAGTTTTCGCCAGTGGGAAGTGGGCCATTTTCCAGTTCAAAGGGGAGGAAAAAGAAGAAAGAAAGAAAGAAAGAAAGAAAGAAAGAAACAAAGAAAAACCACTTGGGGAATAATAGGGCCTACGCCCGGCTGCTCTGCAGCTGGCTCGGGCCCTAAAGAAGAATCCATCAGGAACAAGAGGGCTCTCGCAGCTGCTTAGCAGCTACGCTCGGGCCCTAATAATAACAAAAGAAGAATCCATCAGGAACAAGAGGGCTCTCGCAGCTGCTTAGCAGCTACGCTCGGGCCCTAAAAAGAAACAAAGAAAAACCACTTGGGGAATAATAGGGCTCTCGCAGCTGCTTAGCAGCTACGCTCGGGCCCTAAAAAACCACTTGGGGAATAATAGGGCCTACGCCCGGCTGCTCTGCAGCTGGCTCGGGCCCTAAGAAAGAAAGAAAGAAAGAAAGAAACAAAGAAAAACCACTTGGGGAATAATAGGGCCTACGCCCGGCTGCTCTGCAGCTGGCTCGGGCCCTAATAATAACAAAAGAAGAATCCATCAGGAACAAGAGGGCTCTCGCAGCTGCTTAGCAGCTACGCTCGGGCCCTAAAAACCACTTGGGGAATAATAGGGCTCTCGCAGCTGCTTAGCAGCTACGCTCGGGCCCTAAAGAAGAATCCATCAGGAACAAGAGGGCTCTCGCAGCTGCTTAGCAGCTACGCTCGGGCCCTAATTAACATTTTGACATCTTGTGTGATTTTGTAATGCCACAAGAGAGAATGTGGCTTTTTTCCATGATGTGGAATGTCGGAATGCCACAATGCAAAATTCTACGATGTGGCATTGTGGCATTCTGACATCATGTGTAATCCTAGAATGTGGAATTAAGACATCACACATGATGTCACAATGCCACATTGTAGAATTCCCACGGGTTGCTGTTTTAGCAGAGGAACCATGTGACTGATTCAAATATAAACAATTCTAGAAAAAGTTTTAAAATTATGACATCACACAAGGTCACAATAGCCCAATGGCACATTCTAGAATGTAGCATTCTGACATCACATATTAGGTCATATTGCCACAATGCCATATGAGAGAATGTGGCTTTATGACATCATGTGTAATGTCAGAGTACCACATTGCAAGTATCCTAGAATATTGGCTTTGTGGCATTGTGACATAATGTGTCTTCCTGTTGAATGTAAAAATAAGATATAACACATGATGTCATAATGGCACATTCCAGAATTCAATCAGGTTGCCGTCCTTGCAGAGAAACCATGTGACTTTGATTCAAAAGTAAACATGTAAACAATTCTAAACAAATATTAACATTTTGACATCTTGTGTGATTTTGTAATGCCACAATGCCACAAGAGAGAATGTGGCTTTGTGACATCATGTGTAATGTCTGAATGCCACAATGCAAAATTCTACGATGTGGCATTCTGACATCATGTGTAATCCTAGAATGTGGAATTAAGACATCACACATGATGTCACAATGCCACATTGTAGAATTCCCACGGGTTGCTGTTTTAGCAGAGGAACCATGTGACTGATTCAAATATAAACAATTCTAGAAAAAGTTTTAAAATTATGACATCACACAAGGTCACAATAGCCCAATGGCACATTCTAGAATGTAGCATTCTGACATCACATATTAGGTCATATTGCCACAATGCCATATGAGAGAATGTGGCTTTATGACATCATGTGTAATGTCAGAGTACCACATTGCAAGTATCCTAGAATATTGGCTTTGTGGCATTGTGACATAATGTGTCTTCCTGTTGAATGTAAAAATAAGATATAACACATGATGTCATAATGGCACATTCCAGAATTCAACCAGGTTGCCGTCCTTGCAGAGAAACCATGTGACTTTGATTCAAAAGTAAACATGTAAACAATTCTAAACAAATATTAACATTTTGACATCTTGTGTGATTTTGTAATGCCACAATGCCACAAGAGAGAATGTGGCTTTTTTCCATGATGTGGAATGTCGGAATGCCACAATGCAAAATTCTACGATGTGGCATTGTGGCATTCTGACATCATGTGTAATCCTAGAATGTGGAATTAAGACATCACACATGATGTCACAATGCCACATTGTAGAATTCCCACGGGTTGCTGTTTTAGCAGAGGAAACATGTGACTGATTCAAATATAAACAATTCTAGAAAAAGTTTTAAAATTATGACATCACACAAGGTCACAATAGCACAATGGCACATTCTAGAATGTAGCATTCTGACATCACATATTAGGTCATAATGCTACAATGCCATATGAGAGAATGTGGCTTTTTGACATCATGTGTAATGTCAGAGTACCACATTGCAAGTATCCTAGAATATTGGCTTTGTGGCATTGTGAAATAATGTGTCTTCCTGTTGAATGTAAAAATAAGATATAACACATGATGTCATAATTGCACATTCCAGAATTCAACCAGGTTGCTGTCCTTGCAGAGAAAGCATGTGACTTTGATTCAAAAGTAAACATGTAAACAATTCTAAACAAATATTAACATTTTGACATCTTGTGTGATTTTGTAATGCCACAGTGCCACAAGAGAGAATGTGGCTTTGTGACATCACACATGATTTCATGATGCCACAAAGCCACTTATGAGAATGTGGCTTTGTGACATCACACATGATGGCAGAATGCTACAATGCCACATGAGAGAATGTGGCTTTGTGACCTCATATGAATGTCGGAATGCCACAATGCAAAATTCTACGATGTGGTATTGTGGCATTCTGTCATCCTTTTTAATCCTAGAATTCGGAATTAAAACATCACACATGATATCATAATTCCACATTCTAGAAAGCCAACGGGTTGCTGTTTTAGCAGAGGAACCATGTGACTATGATTCAAATGTAAACAATTCTAAAAAAAGTTTTAAAATTATGACATCACACAAAGTCACAATAGCCCAATGGCACATTCTAGAATGTAGCATTCTGACATCACATATTAGGTCATAATGCTACAATGCCATACAAGAGAATGTGGCTTTTTGACATCATGTGCAATGTCAGAGTACCACATTGCAAATTTTCTAGAATGAGGATTTGTGGCATTGTGACATAATATGTATTCTTGTTGAATGTAAAAATAAGATATAACACATGATGTCATAATGGCACATTCCAGAATTCAACCAGGTTGCTGTCCTTGCAGAGAAACCATGTGACTTTGATTCAAAAGTAAACATGTAAACAATTCTAAAAAATATTAACATTTTGACATCTTGAGTGATTGTATAATGCCACAATGCCACAAGAGAGAATGTGGCTTTTTGACATCATGTGTAATCCTAGAATGTGGAATTAGAACATCACACATGATGTCACAATGCCACTTTTTAGAACGCCAACGGGTTGCTGTTTTAGCAGAGGAACCATGTGACTATGATTCAAATATAAACAATTCTAGAAAAAGTTTTAAAATGATAAAACCACACAAAGTCACAATAGCACAATGGCACATTCTAGAATGTAGCATTCTGACATCACATATTAGGTCATTTTGTCACAATGCCATATGAGAGAATGTGGCTTTATGACATTATGTGGCTTTATGACATTATGTGTTATGTCAGAGTACCACATTGCAAGTTTCCTAGATGGTGGCTTTGTGGCATTGTGACATAATGTGTCTTCCTGTTGAATGTAAAAATAAGATATAACACATGATGTCATAATGGCACATTCCAGAATTCAACCAGGTTGCTGTCCTTGCAGAGAAGCCATGTGACTTTGATTCAAAAGTAAACATGTAAACAATTCTAAACAAATATTCACATTTTGACATCTTGTGTGATTTTGTAATGCCACAATGCCACAAGAGAGAATGTGGCTTTGTGACATCATGTGTAATGTCTGAATGCCACAATGCAAAATTTGACGATGTGGTATTGTGGCATTCTGAAATCATGTGTAATCCTAGAATGTGGAATTAAGACATCGCACATGATGTCATAATGGCACTTTTTAGAACGCCAACGGGTTGCTGTTTTAGCAGAGGAACCATGTGACTATGATTCAAATATAAACAATTCTAGAAAAAGTTTTAAAATGATAAAACCACACAAAGTCACAATAGCACAATGGCACATTCTAGAATGTAGCATTCTGACATCACATATTAGGTCATTTTGTCACAATGCCATATGAGAGAATGTGGCTTTATGACATTATGTGTTATGTCAGAGTACCACATTGCAAGTTTCCTAGATGGTGGCTTTGTGGCATTGTGACATAATGTGTCTTCCTGTTGAATGTAAAAATAAGATATAACACATGATGTCATAATGGCACATTCCAGAATTCAACCAGGTTGCTGTCCTTGCAGAGAAGCCATGTGACTTTGATTCAAAAGTAAACATGTAAACAATTCTAAACAAATATTCACATTTTGACATCTTGTGTGATTTTGTAATGCCACAATGCCACAAGAGAGAATGTGGCTTTGTGACATGATGTGGAATGTCAGAATGCCACAATGCGATATTCTACGATTTGGCATTGTGGCATTCTGACATCATGTGTAATCCTAGAATGTGAAATTAGGATATTGCACATGATGTATCAATGCCACATTGTAGAATTCCCACGGGTTGCTGTTTTAGCAGAGGAACCATGTGACTGATTCAAATATAAACAATTCTAGAAAAAGTTTTAAAATTATGACATCACACAAGGTCACAATAGCCCAATGGCACATTCTAGAATGTAGCATTCTGACATCACATATTAGGTCATATTGCCACAATGCCATATGAGAGAATGTGGCTTTATGACATCATGTGTAATGTCAGAGTACCACATTGCAAGTATCCTAGAATATTGGCTTTGTGGCATTGTGAAATAATGTGTCTTCCTGTTGAATGTAAAAATAAGATATAACACATGATGTCATAATTGCACATTCCAGAATTCAACCAGGTTGCTGTCCTTGCAGAGAAAGCATGTGACTTTGATTCAAAAGTAAACATGTAAACAATTCTAAACAAATATTAACATTTTGACATCTTGTGTGATTTTGTAATGCCACAGTGCCACAAGAGAGGATGTGGCTTTGTGACATCACACATGATTTCATGATGCCACAAAGCCACTTATGAGAATGTGGCTTTGTGACATCACACATGATGGCAGAATGCTAATATGCCACATGAGAGAATGTGGCTTTGTGACATCATGTGTAATGTCGGAATGCCACAATGCAAAATTCTACGATGTGGTATTGTGGCATTCTTTCATCATGAGTAATCCTAAAATGTGGAATTAAGACATCACACATGATGTCATAATTCCACATTCTAGAACGCCAACGGGTTGCTGTTTTAGCAGAGGAACCATGTGACAATGATTCAAATGTAATCAATTCTAAAAAAAATTTTTAACATTATGACATCACACAAAGTCACAATAGCACAATGGCACATTCTAAAATGTAGCATTCTGACATCACATATTAGGTCATAATGCCACAATGCCATACGAGAGAATGTGGCTTCATGACATCATGTGTAATGTCAGAGTACCACAATGCAAATTTCCTAGAATGTGGCTTTGTGGCATTGTGGCATTGTGACATAATTCGTCTTCCTGTTGAATTTAAAAATAAAATTTAACACATGATGTCATAATGGCACATTCCAGAATTCAACCAGGTTGCTGTCCTTGCAGAGAAACCATGTGACTTTGATTCAAAAGTAAACATGTAAACAATTCTAAACAAATATTAACATTTTGACATCTTGTGTGATTTTGTAATGCCACAGTGCCACAAGAGAGAATGTGGCTTTGTGACATCACACATGATTTCATGATGCCACAAAGCCACTTATGAGAATGTGGCTTTGTGACATCACACATGATGGCAGAATGCTACAATGCCACATGAGAGAATGTGGCTTTGTGACATCATATGAATGTCGGAATGCCACAATGCAAAATTCTACGATGTGGTATTGTGGCATTCTGTCATCCTTTTTAATCCTAGAATGCGGAATTAAAACATCACACATGATATCATAATTCCACATTCTAGAAAGCCAACGGGTTGCTGTTTTAGCAGAGGAACCATGAGAATATGATTCAAATGTAAACAATTCTAAAAAAAGTTTTAAAATTATGACATCACACAAAGTCACAATAGCCCAATGGCACATTCTAGAATGTAGCATTCTGACATCACATATTAGGTCATAATGCTACAATGCCATACAAGAGAATGTGGCTTTTTGACATCATGTGCAATGTCAGAGTACCACATTGCAAATTTTCTAGAATGAGGATTTGTGGCATTGTGACATAATATGTATTCTTGTTGAATGTAAAAATAAGATATAACACATGATGTCATAATGGCACATTCCAGAATTCAACCAGGTTGCTGTCCTTGCAGAGAAACCATGTGACTTTGATTCAAAAGTAAACATGTAAACAATTCTAAAAAATATTAACATTTTGACATCTTGTGTGATTGTATA